TCACACCGGAAATCAGAAATCTAGAATAAATGCAAATCTGTGATTGGTTAAAAATAATTTTTAGCTAATCACGTATTAGCATTTTTCTAGTTTCCGATCCCAGTGTGATGTATGAAAATCAACGGACACAGTAATTTGAAAAGCGCGATAAACAAATCGATTAATTATTTTATATTGATAACAAGTATACATGTATGTATAAAATTTATCCAAACTGTACTCTATCATTAAATATTAATTATTCACCTTTTGCCAATCTTTTATACTTAATATTTTTTTGATAAATTATAACGACCAGATCGTGAGTATAAAGCCCTATTCCAATTGCACGCTGTTTTAAACAGTCTTAAATTTTATAATCATGAATTATCTTATAAAGAACGGGTGGGTATGAAAAATCACTTGCAAATTTTGACGAATTAGCTCATCAAATAATAGACAGTATAGAGGCCTTCGACCATATCACATATTCTACACATGTTATTACCATTAATAATGAGTCAAAGAGTAATAACGTAGATGGTATGAAACTAGGTAATAGAGCAGAAGTTTGGAACAATATCTCTGAGAACATATCTGTATTTTCAACTATTTTTCAAGGGCCTTCGGACATCGCAATTACTGAAGCTGAACGATTGTTCTCACTACTTAAAAACCAAAAAGATAAAATTGATAACATTTTGGATTCACATGCTGTATATGCAGTGGGTCCCAAATTTCAGAATGATTATTCCATGCCTTATATTGCTTGTTGGGTTGCTAATCCTCTCACGGAATCGATTATGGAAAAAATTTCGGGGTTGTTTAATCATGAATTTAGAGTCGCATACCATTTAGTGAAGGCCAATGATAACTATGGTGGCCCAAACAATACATCAAATGTGAGTGGTAACATAAGTGACGGGTTTTCAACAACTAATAGAGATATGTTCGAGCGTGAAGGAAATGATGAAAACAGTGATGATAATGATAGCGAATATTATGATGCTGATAGCGGTGAAGACGATGAAAACGAAGATGGTGATGATAATGATGACGATGATGATGATAATAGTGACGGTGGTGGTGACGGTGATAATGATGGTAAAATCATAATTTCTTCAGATGCTGAAGTCAAATTTGAGGATAAAAATATAATTAGAACTGAGGATAAAAAAAAGTCTCAATCCTTTAACATTACTATTGAACTCTGGGTAAATGTCAAACTTAATTCTAAAAATAGTACTAACTCAACTTTAGAGTTTGAGATCGACTTATATAATTGCTCAGTGACAAAATTACTCAGCGAACAATGTCCATCTCTAGATAATTTGTTTTGCTACTATATCGACTCATTAGAAATTCGTGCCTCTCCGCTCAAGTCTGACGACGCTTGTATAATTGTTCAAAAGAAAAAACATAGCCCACATAAGTCTAATAATGATATCACATCTACAAAAGTCTATGAAAACGACTATCGTTTTCAAATGGATGTAGGTGCGCCGCAAAGTATCAAAGCAATTTTTGCCACTGGTAAAAAAAAAGGTCGAAGTTCTACGGCAACAACAAAAGAATGGAGCATGAGGGCTACATTCAGCGGAAATATTGGCAACGAATGGTCATATCGATTTACTGATAACGATATAGGTGATAACTTGGACAGTAGAGTTAGCATTAATACGGATATACATAAGGGTTGCTGGGACATCGGGAATAAAATGACAGGATTTCGTATAACAATTACGCAGGTAATGGGCAGCATTGAGAAACGCAATTTTTTTAATCGCCTACATACAAAACCAAAATTAATAAAAGAGTATCCCCAACTTGTTCACCAACTTGAGGTTTGTTTTACAAACATAGAAAAGCTTAATTCTGACTTTAAAAAACATGCAAAAAAGTGTCACAGGGGGTCATTAATTATTGTTAATTCAAAAAACGATAACAAACCTCAGCAAAAAAATAATGAAGGGTTTATTATTAATCGCGATGTTAAAGTACCTTTAATAAATCAGTAGCATTTAATGAAATTGTATAGTGAGGTGCTCTATAGTTAGTATATTCGTAAATAAATAGGTGTTATTTTGAAATGAAAGAATTACAATTACTATTTTGCTGATAATCTAAATGTATTGCCATAAAATTCATAATAGCTATGATTGAATTATTTGATAGTTTCTACAAATGATGTTCTTGATAAAATCTGGAGTTCTAAATTTTTTATCATCATTGTGTCGAGTATTAAATCGAATAACGTCAATTAGAGGTCAGATCCCTTGAATATTAATCATAGTTATTCAATGAATCTTCATGAATCATAGAGTGCTCTCAAGCATCTCTCTCAGTGTAATTAGCTATCTATAGAGATCGTGCACAAGTACTACGATAAATTGAAGCAAACCTTACGGCAATTTTGTCGAAAATTCACGTTGCGAAATGCGGATATTAAAATTTTAGCCAATCAGCACAACTCTATGATAAAAAAAGATAGTCTCTGACCATCTTTTTTTTTCATCGCGATAATGAACTCGTTTGATCGAATAATTTATTTTCCACTTATTGATTTAGATGCTTGAGAGCACCCATAATCATTCAAAAATTTGCAAAAATTTACATTTACATTATATCGGATTATGGTCGCTCTCAAGCGTCTCAATCAATGAGTCAAAAAATGTCGGGGAATAAATTTTACTTAGCGGAAAATATTTAATGCATGTTGACAAGAGTCAACGGATCGAAAAGACAGGGGAGAATGGTCAGGGTTACACGCCGTGTGCTACAA